TTCTAGAAATAGTCCCCTTTTTAGTATGTATAATCCTGGGCAGAGTGATAAAATAATTATTTTAAATAGGTAGTAGATGATGACTCCCCAGAGATGTATAAGACAATCTCTCAAGAATCTCTTACACCTGGAAAACTGGAAATTAATTTTGAAGAATTATTAAAACAAAAGATGGAAGAAGAAAAACGACGAACAGAGGAGGAACGGAAGCATAAGCTAGAAATGGAGAAACAAGAATTTGAACAACTGCGACAAGAAATGGGAGAGGTAAGATTTTTAAGAAATATCTATTTATATTTCCCATATTTGTTAAGCTAAATATTTTACTTATATCACCTTAGAATAATTTTGTATTATTATTAACCTTTAGGATACTTGACATACTCCTATGAGGCAATTACATGTTACAGGCCTCTGCATAATTATGTGTACTTTCCAGTTCGTAATAACTACTCCTTGATAGTTTAATTATAAAATATCTAGGTTTGCAAGTGACTGAGCTATTACTGTTTATATTTTATGTAGTTATAAATATGCATGTTTATATTTAATATGTATTATATATAGACTATACAGTGCCAGCATCATGCTTCATGGGCATGCACCTTGTGCATTCGTAAGACTCCTCCATGTTCAGAAGGCCCTGCATTTGTGGTTTAATGCTGAGGTTGCTGTCTTGAAATTCTTTTTTGTGGTATGAACATGGCTCACTGCAGCCTTTACCTCCTGTGCTCAAGTGATCCTTGTGCCTCAGCCTTCTGTGTAGCTGGGACTTTAGGTCCCATGTCTGGCTAATTTTTATTTTATTTTATTTTATTTTGAGATGGAGTCTTTCTCTGTAGCCCAAGCTGGAGTGTAGTGGTGCGATCTTGGCTCACTGTAATTTCCACCTCCCGGGTTCAAGCGATTCTCTTGCCTCAGCCTCCTGAGTAGTGGGGATTACAGGCATGAGCCACCATGCCCCACTAATTTTTGTATTTTAGTAGAGATGGGATTTCACCATGTTGGCCAGGCTAGTCTCGAATTCCTGACCTCAGGTGGTCCACCCGCCTTGGCCTCCCAAAGTGCTGAGATTACAGGCATGATTTATATTTATATATAGTTATAAATAAGCATATTTATAACTATATATGCATATATGCCTAGCAATTTTTTTCATAGAGATTGGGAAGTCGCACTTTGTTGCCCAGACTGGTCTCAAACTGCTGGGCTCAAGCGACTCTCCCACCTGAGCCTCCCACAGGTCTGGGATTATAGGCATTAGCCATCACGCCCAGCCACTGTCTTGAAATTCTTTAGTTTATCTTTGAATTAGTGCCTATATAGGAGCCTTGCCTCACTAGAGCTTCATGCCGTCTTCCTGCCTCACTGGAATGAGTTCTCAGCAGCCCCCTTCCCAAGGCCCTGCCTAACCTCCTTCCCTCTTTGGACTCTGCGGTCATCCCGCTGGGTGGCTTGGGTTGCATGGGCAGCGGAAGAGAAAGGTAGAATGGGGGCCTGTATTCACCATCAGCCTTGGCCCCTGCCAAGGGCCAGGCCACGCACATGAACAGGGTCAGGGTCTAGGATGTAGCCTCATGACTTGGCCTGGCAATGCTATGGCATGTTTGGCAGGCAACTTGGTGGGGTCCTCTCACCAACTTACGACCTAGGAACCCAGTGGGTCCCTACATAGAGGTTGCAATCTGAAGTTGCCTGTTTTTTATGGGTTGGGGCAGTGGGCATGTGGGAAGGGAAGTTTTACTTCTCTGCCCCAGGTGTGGCTGGCAAATTATCTAGCTGACCCTGAGAATATAAATATAAATGTGTAAATAAATGCCAGGAATGTACTGTAGAAAAATATTTCAAGGCCTACGTACCTTATGAGTTGTGTATTTTCACCCCACATCGTCTAAAAAGTGGAAATAGTATAAAGGAATGTTTTCTCTTACCCCTTGGTTGAGTCAAGAAATTAAAGCCTCATGTCACATCATCCCAGACTATGATACCCTCTGCCTTCACCTTTTAAAACTCTGCCTAGAACTTTAGGTCATCTTCAGGAAAAGTATACCAGAAATACGTATAGTATTTTACCATTCCATATGGTGGGATTAGGGTTTAGTAAATATTACAAAGGACTAGTAATAACTCTGAAAAGTTAGGGGAAAAGAATCTGAATAAACGAATAAGATAAAATGGTATAAAGAATTGGAGCTGGCCAGGTGCAGTGGCTCATGTCAGCACTTTGGGAAACCAAGTTGGGCAGATCACTTGAGGTCAGGAGTTTGAGACCAGCCTGGCCAACATGGCAAAACCCTGTCTCTACTAAAAATACAAAAAGAGCTGGGTGGGTGTGGTGGCACCGCCTGTAATTCCAGCTACTAGGGGGGCTGAGGCAGGAGAATCGCTTGAACCCAGGAGGCAAAAGGTTGCAGTGAGCCAAGATACTGCCATTGCACTCCAGCCTGGGTGACAGAGTCAGACTCTGTCTCAAACAAACAAACAAACTAACTAACTAACTAAAGAATTGGAGCCCAATCGTGATTGATTCCTTTTTTTTTTTTTTCCTTTTCAAAAAGGCAGTCTGTATCAGGCTGGAGTGCAGTGGCGTACTCATAGCTCACAATAATCTCGAACTTGTGGGCTCAAGTGATCTTCCTGCCTCAGCCTCCCAAGTAGCTGGGACTACAGGCACACCCCACAACACCCAGTGAATTTTTTCCAAGATCAGGCTCAATCAGCACGTTCAGGGTGGTATGGCTGTAGACCTAGTGAATTGTTTGATTGAAGAGATGATGTCTTGCTCTGTTGCCCAGGCTGGCCTTGAACTCCTGGGCTCAAGTGATCCTTCCACCTTGGCCTCCCAATGTGTTGGGAGTACAGGTGTGAACCACTATGCCTGGCCAGTTGACTCCTTTTCTATCTTTGCTGGCAGAATGTATAATTAAGGATACAAGTGATATGTAGAGAAATGTAGATATTTTACCAAACTATATCTCCAGAAATGCTTATTTGTTAACTTGAGTATTGAGTGCTATTTAACTTTATAACACTATCATAAAATCAAAAGTAGGAAAAATTTTAGATACTCTGGATCTATTTAGAGATGAAGAAAATCAGGCTGGGCACAGTGACTCATACCTGTAATCCCAGCACTTTGGGAGGCTGAGGTGGGCAGATCACCTGAGGTCGAGAGTTCGAGACCAACCTGACCAACATGGAGAAACTCCATTTCTACTAAAAATACACAAATTGGCTGGTAGTGGTGGCGCATGCCTGTAATCCCAGCTACTTGGGAGGCTAAGGCAGGAGAATCGCTGGAACCTGGGAGGTGTAGGTTGCGGTGAGCCAAGACTGTGCCATTGCAATCCAGCCTGGGCAACAAGAACGAGACTACTCAAAAAACAAAAAACAACAACAACAAAAACTTAAATCCTACAGTCAGTAAGCAACTGGACAGAAGCCCGCACTGTACCAGAGCCAGGACTAGAATTCATATGATTCCTAGTCCAGTGTTCTTTCAATTATCTTTTTGCCTTCCCCTAACAAAGATTTTCCTACAAGTCCTAGAAAAAATTAATCTTGTCATGAATATTTTAGTTTTAGCAGGTTATCAAGGAATATAAGAGGATTTTAACAATATTCCTTAATGAAAATAGTATTTAAAGTAGAATAAGATGTTTTAAATAAAGCCTTAAATCTGTAGCACCATTTTGAGTTAGTAAATTTGGACACTGCATTTAGAGAAGAGGTTAAACTTTATTTTTGGTCTCAAGTAAGAAATAGGGCACACTTAGGCCGGGCGCGGTGGCTCAAGCCTGTAATCCCAGCACTTTGGGAGGCCGAGGCGGGTGGATCACGAGGTCAAGAGATCGAGACCATCCTGGTCAACATGGTGAAACCCCATCTCTACTAAAAAAATACAAAAAATTAGCTGGGCATGGTGGCGCGTGCCTGTAATCCCAGCTACGAAGGAGGCTGAGGCAGGAGAATTGCCTGAACCCAGGAGGCGGAGGTTGTGGTGAGCCGAGATCGAGCCATTGCACTCCAGCCTGGGTAACAAGAGCGAAACTCCGTCTCAAAAAAAAAAAAAAAGAAATAGGGCACACTTTTTAGATGATTTATTGTACAAACTAATATGCTGATACTCAACATACAATTTTTTTTTTTTTTTTGAGTCAGGCATGGTGGCGCATGCCTGTAGTCCCAGCTCCTTGGGGAGCTGAGGCAGGAGGATTGCTTAAACACAGGAATTCAAGGCCAGCCTGGGCAACATAGTGAGACTCTATCTAAAACAACAGCAAAAAACTTTTTTTTTTTTTTTTTGAAGGAAGAGGAAGAAAATGAAACCTTTGGATTGAGCAGAGAATATGAAGAATTGATCAAATTAAAAAGGAGTGGCTCTATTCAAGCTAAAAATCTAAAAAGCAAGTTTGAAAAAATTGGACAGTTGTCTGAAAAAGAAATACAGAAAAAAATAGAAGAAGAACGAGCAAGAAGGAGAGCAATTGACCTTGAAATTAAAGAGCGAGAAGCAGAAAATTTTCATGAGGTATATTACCTTTATTTTTTAACATACTTATGGTATAGTAATGATAATAAATTTAACAGAAGTAACACTGGCTTTGAAATAAGTTTTAGTACTTACAATTAATCATTGGTGTATATAGAGATCTGGGAAGTAAATAGCAAAAACACATTTAGATCTTAAATTTTGAAAGACTAGCACTGCTTCATAATCACCTTTATCAGTTTTAAAACCTATAGTGAATGTCAAATGGTTCACACTAGCAAAAATGTTCAAAAATATTTTTTGGCTGGGTTACGCCTATAATCCCAGCACTTTGGGAGGCCAAGGAGGGAGGATCACATGACCCAGGAGTTCTAGACCAGGCTGGGCAACATAGTGAGACTCCATCTCTACAAAAAAATTATATAATTAAAAAGAATATATTTTTTGGTATATGTTTTAGCTGAGTCAGTAGAACCAGCGTATATTCAAGTTAAACTCCAGATTATTCATACTTTCTTGTTTTTTAGATGAAACCCATACAGCCTCTAATATTTGCTCAAAGTTACAGCAGTAATTCAGTGTGAAAGAGCCTAAATGAGAATTCTGATGACATGAATTTGAATTATCTTCAAACATAAAATAAAGAGGCAATCACTGACCTGCAATCCCCCTTCTAGCTTAAGGACTATTTCTGTGATTATGAATACTGGTTTCAATGAGATCTAGAATTTTTTTTTCTGCCAAAATTGCCATATTTAACAGAATTTAATCTATATTCTAGAAATACATTTTGATCAAATATTCAGCTAGCAAAACGGGTATGGGAATTTGGGAGGGCCTTCAGAGGAGACTGGATAAAAGGACAGAATGAAGAAATTGTGTGCCAATTATTGGGATGCTAAGTAATTCATTATTATTGAAGCATGCACGAGTGCAAAGGACAGCAAAAGATAATGAAAATGCAAGCACAAGTGAGATGATCATGGAGTCTTAGATGACATGTGAAGCGATTTTTTAAAAACATGGATATTGGCTGGGCAGTGGCTCACACCCCTAATCCCAGCACTTCGGGAGGCTGAGATGGGTGGGTCACTTGAGCCCATTTCAAGACCAGCCTGGGAACATGGCAAAACCCTATCTGTATAAAAAATACAAAAAAAGTGTCCAAGCATGGTGGCGCACACCTGCAGTCCCAGCTACTCGGAAGGTTGAGGTGGGAGGATCGACCGAGCCTGGGTGGTTGAGTGGCTGCAATGAACTGTGATTGCATCACTGCACTCCAGCCTGGGTGTCAGAGCAAGACCATGTCTCAAAAACAAAACATAGATATTGCCAGACAGGTATTGTCTATGCAGCTAGATCATACTGAAGCTATATGGTGTTAGATACATGCATTAAAAAATTATTTGAGGCCGGCCGGGCATGGTGGCTCGCATCTGTAATCCAAGCACTTTGGAGGCCAAGGCAGGCGGATCACCTGAGGTAGGGAGTTCAAGACCAGCCTGACCAACATGGTGAAACCCTGTCTTAAAAAAAAATTATTTGAGGCCACGCGCAGTGGCTCACAGTGGCAATCCCAGAACTTTAGGAGGCCAAGGTGGGTGGATCACATGAGGTCAGGAGTTCAAGACCAGCCTGGCCAACACGGTGAAACCTCTGTCTCAACAAAAACACAAAAATTAGTTGGGCATAATGGGGGGTTCCTGTAATCCCAGCTACTCAGGAGGCTCAGGCAGGAGAATTGCTTGAACCTGGAGGCAGACGTTGCAGTGAGCTGAGATCACACCACTGCAATCCAGCCTGGCGACAGGGCGAGACTGTCTCAAAGAAAAAAAATATTATTTGACTACTATGTCCACAGGACAACATCAGTTAACTAAATTTACAGTCCCTGTTCATATTGGTGGGTTGGGGATTGGGGGAGGAAAACAGTTATCAGGTGGTTAACAAATTAAAGCTATGAAGATTAATAAAGCAGAATAAGGGAAATAAGAGTATGTGTTACTGTTTTGTACAGGGTGGTCAGAAAAGGCCTGAGGATTTGAAGTAGGGCTGGGATGGAAAGGACAGGTAAGTATATAGGAGTCAAAACTGGCAGGACTTGGGGATGGTGATGGAGAGGAAGAAAGAGGAAGGAATCATAGTAACAAGTATACAGTAACAATAAGGGAAATCAGTGTTTGGAAGGAAAAGAGGTTCCATAAGCTATTTCAGACAAATAGAGATGCTGTGAAACATCCAATCAATTCAGTATGCATCTGAGCTTGTGTAACATACAAGCCTAGGGCCCAGGCTAGTTGCAGATAAATCATCTCATCGTTGCTAAAAGCCAACACCATTTCTATTTTTTTATTTTTTTTGAAATGGGGTCTCGCTCTGTTGCCCAGTTTGGAGTGCAGTGGTGCAATCTCGGCTCACTGCAACCACCCCCTCTAGGGTTAGTGATTCTCCTGCCTCAGCCTCTCGAGTAGCTGGGATTACAGGTGCCCACCACCACACTCAGCTACTTTTTTGTATTTGTAGTAGGGACGGGTTTCACTGTCCTGACCTCATGATTCACCTGCCTCAGCCTCCCAAAGTGTTGGGATTACAGGCGTGAGCCACTGTGCCTGGCCGCAACCATTTCTATTTTTCAACATCTAAAAAATGTTGAACATTTTTAACGTGTTGGATCTGTTGTTTTGGGGATATATAAGTGGATATGTCTTTAAGTTCAGTCTAAGTATGTATAACTGAAGAAAATTCTAATTATTGTAAGTGCTATAATAGAAATTGTATACTTAGTGTTACAGGATCAAATTGGGTGGAGTCAATATACCTAGGACATGTTTAACAAGCTCAAGAAGGTGAGATTTAAGCTGAGTGTAAAGGCTGAATAAAAGTTGCAGGTAAAGAGGAGAAACATTCCAGATAGGAGAAGCCTTTCAGATTAACTCAGAGGTTGTAAAAATGTATCTGGGGAATGGAAAACAGGTTCAAAGGACTTCAACGCAAAGTTCACAGAATAGTGATAGGATACAAAGCTGTAAAAGTAGGTTGTGGCTAGTTAATGAAGGTCCTTTTAAACCTTGCAGGCACTATGATCTGGAGAACAATATTAATAATCAACTTTTTAGGTCAGAGTAAGAAAGGACTTATGTTTATGCAAGAATTCTGGGACCACAGAGGATGAACTGCAAGACAGGCATGAAGTTGGGGCCAAGGGAGAAAAACAGACCTAACTAACAAAATTAGGTTAGACTCAGGTATGGATAGGAGTCAAACATACAAACAAAAAAGGATTATAGGTTGCTTTTTGGGTGCTTGGTTGCAGATGGGCCTACCATTACTTCCAGATAACTAGATGATGCTATAGAGAAATCACGTCTGGGGAGGAGGGGTGAACAGTTTTGGTGATATTTGGGTAAGGTAAAGGTAGTCTAACATAGGTCCTAAACTCAGGTGAGGTGCAAGAACTACAGATTTTTATGGATAGCACTAGAAAGTACAAGTAGATAAAGCTGCTAAGAAAGTTAATTGTTGAAGGTGAATGATAAAACCCTGGAGAACACCAAAATTTAGTGGATGAATGGCCAAAGATCAGTCTTTATAGGTGTATCATGGAAAAGTTCAGTTCAATCAGCATGCACTTGCTTCCTTTTGTTAAGGATAGTGAAACCTCAGCTGTCGTACCCAAACCTACAAAATATGTAGGAAAGAATAAAAACATAAGATAGGTGACTTCTTGTTTTATTGCTATTAGTGACTCTCCAGCATACATGGATGTGATATTTGGACGTGGCTGAACTTCTATAACCCATCAGAGTATCCTGAATGGAGTTTCCTCTGGAGGACATTGAAGTCCCTCCTATCATACCTTTCTGAGTTAAAGGTGATTGAAAGTCTAAAAACTTGTTAGCAGCTGGGTGCAGTGGCTCACACCTGTACTCTCATCACTTTGGGTGGCTGAGGCAGGTGGATCACCTGAGGTCAGGAGTTTGAGACCAGCCTGGCCAACACGGTGAAACCCTGTCTCTACTAAAAACACAAAAATTAGCCGGGTGTGATGGCAGGTGCCTATAATCCAAGATATATGGGAGGCTGAGGCAGAATTGCTTGAACCCGGGAGGCAGGGGTTGCAGTGAGCTGAGATTGAGCCACTGCACTCCAGCCTGGGTGACAGAGCGAGACTGTCTTGGGGTGGGGGGGGGCGGCGGCGGCGGGGGAAGACAAAAAGAAAAATCAATGTTCAGTGTGTCTTCAAAATGTTTATATTCTTTCAAGGCTCAACTCATTTATGTAACGTTATCTAATCAAAGAATTCCATCCCAGGTCCTGTAGCACTTAAACACGTACCCCTCTTTTGGTACTTAAATGCTTTATATAATGTTTGAATTTCTAATTAGATTTTCCAGTAAAGTCTACTCCAAAACCATCTTATACCTCATTGTATCTCAAGGAAGATACACTGCCTAACTGCTGACTTAAAATGTGTTTTAATCTGGCTCTTCAGGGGCTCAAGAAAAGTTGACAACTGTACTTGACTGAAGGACAGTTCATAAACTTTCAGCGCAAGAGAAATTCTTCTACTTAATTTTCTAAATGCAGGTTTGAGGTAGCTAAATGAATAGTTATGAATTTGCATGAAGAGGCTAAAATCTGGAAGCCAAGTCAGTAACTGAGAAGGACACAGAATAGCAATTATTGTACCTGCTGGAATATTCCATCTTAAAGATTCAGTTTGTGAACAACAAAAAACAAGTGTATACTATGAACAAAAAGGTCCTTTTTATAATTTAAGTCTCAGAAGTCTGTTAAGACTACAGTAAGCAAAAGAAAATCATGGTTTAATCATTTTTTGTAGTCTTTTAAGTATAATAATAATGTTAAAAACCTCTATACCTTCATTAGCAACAACCACTCAGGCATTACATTTACGAAATGAAGGTAAATAATGGCACAAAATAGAATTTACACATCAGATAGCAGGTTGTCCCATGATTTTCCAATATCAAATAAAAATCTAATGCAGAACCAGAAAAACTATCCAAATTTTTTAACCTCCTTCTACTCCTTTCATTGGAAATGATGTAGGTACCAGGTGCGAGGTGCAACTTGAAACTGAGTGAAACACCTGAACCAGGATTTTTCTTATATAGGCAATTAAACTACTGCTTGTTTCAAATTTCCCTTTAGTTGGGTGTAACCTGGAGCAATTTCTTCATAGTACCATGAAAAATAAATGGTGAGATTTCCAACTAGATCCACAAATGCCTAAGTAGTTTAGAAACCAAAAGTCAACTACAACTGAAATACTTTAGAAACCATGAATTAACTACCCACGTTAACCCCACTCCACCCAAAGTGCTCTAGAAGACGTTATCATTACCAAATTATTATTTTCCTAGACAAACTATTTGACAGTTGACACTCTGCTCTTAAATCACTCCCTTATTTCCATGGCTTCCAACTCATCCCTCAATAGATGTCTCAAACATATTTTAATGATTTCCCCATTTTTGTCATTGTCTTTTTCAACAGTTGTCTCTGCCTGTTTTTCTACTTGTAAACACCCTTACTCGGTCATTTCACACGTTACATTATTTGGATGGAATTCATCAGGGACATAGTTCTAAGAAGGGTGAAAAAGGGAAAATCACTAAGTAGAAAGAACAGATTTCTCATATTATGTAGTAGGGAATGGTATGTTTTAACAATTACTAGAATGTATAGTATTCTGACCTTTTTCAATTAAGTGCTATTAAAACCAAGTGGAGTTGGTTAGACACACACAGGCTGGGATTCCAGTGATATTGTCATCTTTACATTCAGCAAAGACTATATAATCAAGAGAATGGTTCATAAATGTATCTATCACTTTTCCTGAACTTGGGAGTTAGAAAAATCTGAGTGTCGGCAGTGTAGCACAAATATGCATTACAAACATGTTAATCATTTTGTGCTTATAAACACCACCTTTAGAACTAGTAACACTTCTGGCCAGGTGGCTCACGCCTGTAATCCCAGCACTTTGGGAGGCTGAGGAGGGCGGATCACGAGGTCAAGAGATCGAGACCATCCTGGCCAACATGGTGAAACCC